GAGATGGATGAAATTCTATCCCAACAGAGGGATTTCCAAGGAAAACTAGTATTATGAAAGGACAGACAGTACTAGAGAACAGACAGTATAAAATGTTAGTGCTTTAATACTTTAATATGGTTCTGTGTTTTGTGGTTATGCTATAGTTGAAGTGTGATCTTGTTTTGTTGAAACTCATGGCAAAGCTCCCTCTGTTTTAAGCCACAGGAAAATCAGAGCCATTGAGTAGCACTACAATCTCATGTTGTAAATTTGAAGTACTTTACACTGCATTTACTGAAAGGAAGGGGAAATAATGATCTCACCATGCCATCTGCCACTTCTCAAACAGAATGGAACAGACTATGTCAGTCAAAGGGCAAAATATTTTTTAAAATTACTTTGTGTTTATTTTTCTTGTTATGGTTTTTTGGTTGCTTAGTAACAATATTCTGCATGTAAACTTGTAGCATCTGTGCAGAATGTGAGATGTTAATGTGTTCATAAAAATTAGGAGTCCAGTTAATGTTTTCCTCTATGGTACTTCTAAATTATGTCCTCTTTTTTATTTTTTTTTTAGTTCTGCAGATCACCTGCTTTTATAAAAAGAGACAGATTTGCATCTCAGAACAGAGAGAAATCATAAGTTTGAGTTTCAGTACTTCTAAGAAAAAGTAGCTGGTCTTTCTACATGGAGAATGTAGTAGAATAAAGTAACTTGCAAAGCACCGAAGTGGCTTTTGAAGGCCATATGATTCTGTCCATGTGGTTAGGTGCATGCTGGATAATGTCTGTCAGCGATTACTTATCTCCCAATGTCAGGAACCTAACTTGATGACTCTCAGAACTATATGAGAAAGATTTTAAAGAGAAAACCAGATGCACATTCAGAGATGTTATACTCCATCCTCTCAACTCTCTGTAGCAGAAGGTCTACTGGAAGCTACTCTACAATTTCAAAAGCAGAAACAGCTAACTTGGGAGGGTTGGACCAAGGCAGATTGCCTAAGCATATATAGCTACCCACCTCACTGTATAGTCACCAAAGGGGAATAGGCTCACCCAGACAGCAAGTCATCTATCTGCCTTAGGATGGGATGAATCACCTCACTTTCTGCTTTGACTGAAATGAGCCAAACATGTCTAGCCAGCAGCATACTTTTAAGATAATTGTAGTTTTGTAGTTTGGTGAGATTAATCCCTCCCCACGTGTTCTTTTATTTTTTATATATATATATATATTTTATTGGATATATATATATACAGTACATTTTACCTTATGTTGTGGCAGTCCTTGCTCATGTAAGGTTCACATTAACTCCAGTGAGGGAACGTTGTGAGAAAACACTGCAGGACTCACCTTCTGGTAAGCGAAGTATTTGACTGTTCCCTTCCTTCATTAGAGACATTTTGTTCTACCTTTCTAATCCCTTCAGTCGCTAGCTACAGATGATGCCAGCAGACAGCTGGGTATTATCCCCAGGGCCGTTGGAATGTCACAGTGAATTCTGTAGAAAGACATAGTTTCATTAAAGTATGTTGAGGGAGCTGAAGCCATAGCTCCATAACTGAAAAAATACTAATGATTGCAGTGTTTCTTTTATTTGGCAGTGTAACGATTTCCACTCACTTTATGTAATGTAAGAAATTGAGCTGGTGCCCAGCGGAGCTGCGGCAGAGCAGAGGGGCCTGGCCAGCCTCTCTTGCTTCCCCTTTCCTGCCATTGCCTCCCCGAAAGCAGCATGATCAGCAGGACTAACTATGCAGAGGCTCAGAATGCAGCTAGGAATCACAGGATCACAGAAGGGCTGAGGTAGGAAGGGGCCTCTAGAGATCATCTAGTCCAACCCCCCTGCTCCAGCAGGGACACCTACAGCACGTGGCACAGGACTGCATCCAGGCGGGTTTTGAAGATCTCCAGAGAAGGAGACTCCACAACCTCTCTGGGCAGCCTGTTCCAGGGCTCTGTCACCCTCACAGGAAAGAAGTTCTTCCTCACATGAAGATGGAACTTCCTGTGTTTCAACTTGTATCCATTACACCTTGTCCTGTCACTGGCCACCACTGAGAAGAGTTTGGCCCCAAAAGGAAGCTTTCTCCCTCCCTCCAGGAGCTAAAGGGATGGAGAGGCCCATCCTTTTTCCCATTGACTATTTGTGAAACCCTTGCCTGATTTATTTCTGCATCCTATGTAGCTTATATTACAGTTTGGCAGCTGTTAAGGCTCTCAGTGAAATCAGTCTAGCTGTTTACTAGCACATCCTCCCACTGCAGGCAAGCGTCTTGCCAGCTCAGCCGTCAGATAACTCTGTAGCTAACATAGATGAGTTGCTGGACCCCAAGAGTCCTGCAATACCCATGGTAAAAGCTGTAACTCTCACTGACTGGCAGAATGGGTAGGTTGGCACTTGCTGTTTGCCTTGGTATCACGGCCTGGAGCTCTTCACATGGATCTAGGTGCGAGAGGCCCATGCATACTTTCTTTTTTTTTTTTTTTTCCCCACTCTTGGATAATTTGAATAATAGTGTAACGAAGACTGCAAGAAGGATTTATTTCATTATGAAAGACTAGATTCTACTGGCCATGTGCTTCACAGTGTCTATGAGTGACATCCAGCTCCTGCCATGAGCTCCAAACATCCAGGACTCCCAGTATCCATTGAGCTTATGAAGCTGTAAAACACACACACATCTGATGCTTTCAGAAAACTGTTAGACTTACTACATACATACTTGTGGTCACAATGTGTATGCGAATAGTCCCAATGCCTTAGGGAACCATCACTTCCATGCATGGAACAATTCGTGTATTTTCTGACTTGGTAGTTCTGTACGACCACAAAACACAAATACGCTCCATGGGGACGTTTGTCAGTACGAAATTAGACAACAAAGTTACAGACTGCTAGGGGACTACAGGATATAGTCAGTAGCATCTTAGATAGCCTTAGCACATTGGCAGCCCTGGCTGTGTTGAGACCCTGTGCTGTCATATGAGCTTTCTGGAGTATAATGAAGTATCTCGGAGGCCCTCCCAGTTCTTGGGGGGGCGAACACAAGTTTGTTTGAAAATTGAAGGACTGGGTGATGGGGATTATTGTGCTCTGTTATCATGTGGAAGTGGAAGTTAACAGCTTTATGCACAGTGAGAAATTATAAGGTGAATGGCGACAATGAAAATAAGGCAAGTATAAGTATACAAAAAGTCTAAAAATGAAGAAAAGATACTAATGTTTAATGTGGTTGCATATGCAAGCTGTTCCAAATCAGGTGTATTGTGATTTGAACAAATACCCGATTTCATCCTGGGTCCTACCTATTGAATTCTCTATTGAATTGATCAAACTTTTGTTCCTTTTCATTCTGTTCTGTCTATATGTTTATTCATTTGGATGATTCTTTCCTGTGGGGCAAAGATGCACAGGGTAGAATTAGACCTCCAGCGACTCAGGCTAACATAAATATTAAAGCTGCATCCTCTCTAGAGTTTACAGGGCATGGATTTTTTTTCAGGTTGTTCTAATTCTCTTCATTTTTTAGAGAAACTTATGCAATTTTTTGGAAATAAATCCCAGTTCTTTAGCATGTCAGTCCACTGCTTAATAATGCTACTGCACTGGATGCATTCTGCAAAAAGTATTACTTAGTATTCTTTTTTTTAATGGTAGTTTCTTATGCTGCTTACCTCATCGTATCAAATAAACCCTTTGACAAGAGCACAGATGTCTTGCAAATGGACGAGTTCACCTGTGCGGGGAAAGCCAGCTCTTCTGAAGCACAGCATAGACATGGGGAATAGCAGTGATGTGGGCTCCTACGAGAGAGTTGACACTGCTCTTTAGAGCCAGACTTTCTCGCTTTGACATAATAGCTCCAAGTAATTCTTCCTTCCTAGCTCTGAGTTACCTTTCTGACAGCCTCTGCATGAGGCACTGGATTTGCTTCTGACTGATTGAGGCCAAGTGAGTCAGAAATCACCCTGTTACAGCTGGGAATTCATGAGTCTGCAGCTCTGTAAAATTAATTCACCTCTATGAACTGACAGGCCAAACTCTATGTGCGTTGGAAATAAGATCAAGATTTAACATAACCTGTTTTTTGTCTCTTATGTATTTTCATAATTTTAAAGTAGAAAATTCATTTTCAGAGTATAATAGAAACATGTATTTGAACTGGTAACACTTGCAGTAATGTTCAATAACATATTTCACATTTCATATTTTAATTTATGGCATATCAGCTTAATTAGAAAAACGAAATACAAAGTATGACTTGTTCCTTTTTTCTAGTGTTCAACTTCAGTGCATTAAAAATGCTAAAATGGCCCTTTATTTAAGTATATTGTTATAAGGAAAGGATTTATTTGTATATTTGGTCTGGCTTCTCTGTGTTGCTCTTTATTCTTCATAAGGCAGCCCCACTCTCTTCCAGGCCTCAGCCTGTCATTTCTTATATAGATCAAATTTTCCAGTGCCAGAATGCATCATACTTCATCCAGTCAGTTGTCCTGGATTTTCTGGGTTGTTTTCCTGAGGCTGCCATTGTACATCTTGCTTCCCCCAAGATGATTAATATAGTCCTGGGAGTCATGCAGCCCTTTTAATAGCATATATAGAGATTTGGTACTTTCCCTCACTGTAGGGAAGGTTCTTATCATACCCGTACATTTCAGTCTCTGGACATATTGAAAACTTCTGTTGAGGCAGATATGGTGACAGTAGAGATGTGGGATAGGAGATAGATGAGACATGGTAGCAGTACAGAAGCAAGGACACTCTAAGTGAAAGCAGCAGCTTCTACAGTTTTGGAGGGAACTGTCTTTCCAATGCACACGTGTTGAGCAGACTGCCTCCCAGCTTTCAAGGGAGATTTAACATGCCACTTGGCTCATTTTCACTTCCTTATCTGGAATATTTTCATACATGATAATTTTCAAAATTAGGAATAACAGGGTGAGTCAGAGCTTTTAAATTATTCTCATAGCATTCCTGTGACATGATACAGCTATTATTTTATTCTGCAGGTTGTGTCTGTGTGAGAAGAAAATCATTTAACAATGAAAAAATTCACTCTCTTTGATTTTATAAATGATAATTCACTGCAAATTGGAGAGACTTCCTGGATAGAGGACCTTCCCAGTGATGATAAGGAACTGGAAAGACTCCTGAAACCAAATGAGCATGTGCTAGTAAACTGGCCTGTGGGAGAGAGAAAGACAGAAAAGCACCTGGTGAAGGTTGTGTACATGAGTGGTGAGTACAGTAGCAGAGCTTGTGGCTGACAGATTTTGCTCTGTTTACAAAGTATCAGTGCTTAATTTTGCTGCTTATTCTTTGCTTGGGCCTTTCTTTCCCTTCACTTCAGATGACCCCCAAGAGCTGGTGGAAATGATGCAAAAGATACTGCAAGCAGATGAAATTACAAAAATACAAGTCCTTGGAAAAGGCAAGAGGAAGAAGATAGAAATGATATTCTCCGAAAGTGAAGACAGTGACCTGGATCGAGAACAGGTGAGTTTCTGTCTTTATGTGGTAAGCTATTAATATAACCAAATAGACTGTAACTATTGATTCACAGTAAAAACCACAAAAAGATGGTTTTGTGGTTCACAGAAAAAAAAAACACAAAATACGTGTACTGAAGGTAGGAATAGAGGCAAACTTCACATGATGCCTCAGCACAATAACCTGTCAGAGAAAGCATTTAGGCCAACTTAGGCTTGTTTAAAGAAAAAGTATTATTCAAGATTTTGGGTGCCCTGTAGCTCCATTGCATCTTCTGCCATAAGACAAGGGCAGGGCCCAGGATTTCTGAGCTCTGCTTGGTTCTAAGAACTGCAGTGGCACAACTGAGAGAAAGAAGACATACAGCTCGAGATTAACAAAAGGTTGCAAATATGTTATTCAAAAATACCAACGGAGAACGTCACAGAAAAACTGAAGAGGAGTTTATAGTATACCACAAGATACTCTGATGGAGGGTTCTATAGAAACGGAGAGGTACTTTGATGCTCTTGCTTGCAGGGGAAAATGATGAAGCCTATAAAAAGGAAGAAATCATTACAGGCATCTGCTTCTGCTAACATCCTGAGTCAACTTGAAACATCTTTAATTAACAAACAGGTAAACATCTTATCTGGAATAATTTTAATCTATTAAGCAAAAGGAAACTGATATTTATTTGTTTGAGGGAGATATAAGACTTTTGGTTTAGTGAAGTTTTGGTTCTTAAAGATACCACCTTAGAAAATCAGTGAATGGAGAACATAAAGAAAAAATCTAACAGCTGTTATTCTGAAGTTTCATTTTGAATTCAAATCTAAACAGTAATATCCATGTTCTGTAGCAGTTATCAATAAAATACAGCAAGTTTATTTGTATATTTTGTGTATACAAAGAGAATATTCTGATTTAGCCAGATATTTTCAATGATAATTTTAATGCTTTAATTTTCTATTTTGTTGATTGAGATAGACCTTATTTATTTACTTATTTATTTATTTTCAGAGAGAACCATATTCAGGAAACAACTTTTTGTACAGTGAAAGCAGTGAGGATGAAGAGCCTTTATTTCAACTATCGAAGGTGGAACTGTGTGCCAAAATAAAAAGTCTGAAGAGGAAACTGGCAGACACTGTGAGAGAAAACTGCCGCCTGAGGCAGTCCCTGGTCATGCTCCAAGGTAAAGGCAGGGGAAATGCTATGGTGAAGCAGAGAGCCTGAAGGCTGTGAAAAGCTCGATTTATAAAAGATCCTTTGAATGGGAATTATGGATGCTCAAGCACCTGGCAAGGTCAAGGCCTACTGATAGTACAGAAGTCTTAGTTACATAGCAACATTTAATTCCAGCAACACTTAGAAAAAAAAATCATCTTAAATGGAGACCATGTGATCACAGGGTTAAAATAGAAAAATCTATATCTAAATCCTGCCAGTTAGTCCTGAGAGAATATTTCTCTTTCCTATATGTAACCACAGACTAAACTTGAATATTTAATTGACCAGTCCAAGCAGACCTTATTTATTAAGCAACCATTCTTGATCTACTGAAATTGTCTTTATTTTGGAGTGCTTTTATTTTTTAATTATTTGGTTAATAATCAGTGTTGATAACACTTAGTTAGCTCTAGGAGTAACACATTAATCCTTTCCAGATGTTTTCTATTTTCTTCTTTTATAAATGAATCCTTAATCACCTACTGACCATCTCTGAAGTCCCTCTTACTTGACCCTGAGCCTTTTTCTGACACACCAAAGACTGAATCCAGTATTTCAAACCACCGTGAACAAATTTTCAAAGAGGACAGCACTCCTGTGCAACCTACTATATCTCTTGTTTTTTTGTTGTCTTATGATTTCGTAAATGCTTATTATTTTCTTTCTCCACCTGATTCCATCCCATATTTCCTTCACTTTATTTTGAATTATTCTTCTCCAGTTCTCTGAATAGCATTTGCCAAGCTTTGATAGTGTCACACAACTTAGACATTTAAGTCCTTTCATCTTGAGCATTTTTGCAGAATTTTCCAGTAAGTTAATGATTTTGCACCTTGCTGATTCTTTGTGTCTCACATCCTTTCCACTCACTGTATTGATTTGTTTTTTAATGGACTCAATGAAAACTTATTTTTGAAACTAAATATTAGTCAGAGAAGTGGCCATTTAAAAGACATTCTCTATAGATTAAAAAAGGAAAATATACTTTATGCATAGGAAGGTGTAAATCCTTTGAAACAGCTGAAAAATCACTATTTGGCCCATATTCAGGCCCTATCTCTGAAGGCTTGTTCAGATTTGGAGATAGCAAAAAGAAGAAAAGAAAAATATCTAGCTTAGTGCTGTGTGGGACGTAATCTGCTTTTAGTTTGAGAGAACTGATCTAGCATATTGTGAAAGCAGAGGCCACAACTTCACAGAAGGTGAGAGCAGGAGAATGACAGGAAATTTTTGAGAAACTGGGAAAAAAAAAAAAACAAACTTGTTAAAGCATCTTTGCTGACTACTTTCGCTCGTTGCTCGTGTGATAGGACTTTAATGACAAAAATATGCGTGCTGACATAGTTGGAGTCTGGAAGATTCCCTGACCTTAGCCGTTACTGTCCATTTAATTTCAGTGTTGCCACAGGCAGTCAGCCACTTTGAGGAGCTGGTGGGCATGGCGGAAGTCCTGCTCAAAGGGGGAGTGACCACAGCTGGGTCCAGCCTTCCCTCGCATGCTGTTTGGAGAGCGTCTGGCAATTCTTATGCAGATTCCTATGCAACTATGAACAGTAACTCCAGCTCACCCACAACTTTGAACATGGAAGATGAGGAGCAACAGATGGAAAAACAGGTCAGTTAAGAGGCAATTTCAAGCACAAAAAAAACCTTGATGTAATACCTGCTTATTGTAATTGTATAATGAATATAAAAAGGATTAGTAAAAATCGTTCTGGTCTCCCCAGTACAAGAGGGATGTGGAACTTCTAGAGAGGGTCCGGCGTAGAGCAACAAAGATGATTAAGGGACTGGAGCATCTATCCTATGAGGAAAGACTAAGTGAGCTGGGCCTGTTTAGTCTGGAAAAAAGAAGTCTGAGAGGGGATCTGATCAATATGTGTAAGTACCTGAGGGGAGAATGTAGGGAGGGTGGAGCCAAACTCTTCTCCCTGGTGACCAGTGACAGGACAGTGGGTAATGGTTACAAGTTGAAACACAGGAAGTTCCATCTTCATGTGAGGAAGAACTTCTTTCCTGTGAGGGTGACAGAGCCCTGGAACAGGCTGCCCAGAGAGGTTGTGGAGTCTCCTTCTCTGGAGAGCTTCCAAACCCGCCTGGCTGCCGCCCTGTGCCACGTCCTCTAGGTGTCCCTGCTGGAGCAGGGGGGTTGGACTAGATGATCTCTAGAGGTCCCTTCCTACCTCAGCTGTTCTGTGATTCTGTGAAATCATTCTATCTTCATTCACTTGATGAAGTGACTAAAGAGCTTCTTTTCTGCAGAGGGACCTTTGCATGGGGCACACTAGACATACTTAAGTGTGCTGATGCATCCTGGAACTTATTTTGATTTCTGTGGATTTGCACAGGCACACACATCGTGAACAGAATGTGAGTGCATGAAGGAAGCACTGAGATCCAAGAATAAGTTCCCCTCTGGTGTTTCAGGTACCAGAGGGGAATGACAGCATTTCGGAGGCTATCTAAGGAAAATACCATCGTCATCTGTTAATAAGTAAAATGCAGGATGGTGTGTTTTCTGATCTTGTTCCAAACGCCAGCCAGCTGTCAGTAGAAGTACATATTTTGCACTGAACGGAGATGTTTCTGTATTCTCCATAATAACAAAACAGAATTGAGAAGCCTCAGGCACAGAGGCTGTACAGAAAAAATAATAATAATGAAAAGAATAATTCCAGCTTCTGCATTCATAATTCACGTAAGCATTTTTGTGCACTGAGTCATGCCAGTCTGTAGAAGTCATGTGTTCTTTTGGGGTCCCACCCCCAAAAGAAATCTGTGAAGAATTGTCAAGGTGTGATTCTTCCACTAAATATCCCAGTGCACAAGATCTGACTGGCTCCAAAGAATGAAAAAGAACAAGTTATCTGAGTAACCGAACCTTACTGCTAAATAGAAATAGTTCAGACCCGCATGTGGGGAGAGGAGAGCTCGCGTACAGCTGCAGCGTGGAAGCTTCCTGGGGCAGACGTCGCAGTCGGTCACCAGAGTGTTCAGAGGCAGCGCTGTCAGTTTGGGCACGGCGCCTGCTTGTAGGCTGTACAGGCTTCTGAGAAACCTGCTGACCTGCACACACTGCTCCAAATGTTCAGCACCATGCAAGCTTGACACTGGCTTCCAACACACAGCCTGCAGAGCTTGCATTTGAAATTGCAGTTAAAAAAAAAGATATATTTGTAAAATATTTAATTAAAATAATGTGTAATATTTCCAGATAAATAGTTTTGCCTATGACCAATTTTGTTTTCCAGTTCAAGATCGAGAAGTGGCAGATCGCACTTTGTAACAAGAGCAAACCTCAAAAGTTTATAAATGACTTGATGCAAGCACTTTATACACATGAATATATGGCTACACACAGCCTGACAGGTGCAAAGTCCTCCTCTTCGAGGGATAAAGCAGCAAAACCAGCTATGAATCAGAATGAAGTTCAGGAAATCATAGGTGATGATTTGTTAACATTACTCAATATGGCACTGAACTGACAGAGGGCTTTCTTGGTGGCAGCAGTAAAACATTACATCTGGTAACCCAGGTCATGGGCTGTTGCACTTTTTTTCTTTGTCTTCACATTTTTTACCCATCTGTGATAAACACTTATAGCACCACTAAGTGGTGCTAACTGGGCAAATTCTGTATTTTCATTTCATAGTGACTGCTAAAGCATAGGAGCACTGTAATTTTTTTTAGCCTTTGCAAGAATTATATACAATAGTAATGCCTGGAACACAAAGGTAACAAATAAAAGGGAGGCAAAGAGAACAGACGATCAGATTTGACATAATGCCCGCTCTATTCTGTAGTTGGTGAAGATTAGAAATTTGGGCATTTTAAATAGTGTTTCAGACAACACAAGGGGAAAAGTATAAAAAATCATTATCAGATCAGAGAAGCAAGGAACATGGGTTTCCTGCTGTCCTGCTGAGATTTAATGCAGAAAACATTTGGTGCATAGGAAAGAGAAAATTGTTTCAGAGGGACAGAAAGAGAAAATCATTACAGATGCAAGTAGCAGCTTTAAAGAAAGTTGTATTTTGTTAGCACCAATTTTTTTTTTTTGGATTAATACCCGGTCCTTAATATTTTGCTAATGTAGCCCCATTTTCTGAACCGTAATCCTTTCCCCACTGCCAGCCTTCCCCAGTACTGTAAGTTCCCTGCCCAACCTGCCTCCAGTTCTTGCACCCCTTTGACAAGTTTTATTGAAGCTGGCCATCAGTTTCAAGAGTTACCAATAGGGTATTGGGGGTATAGTTGCATATATCTCTTTTTCTTAGGAGCCTGGATAGAGAAAAAAGTGCCAAAATCAAGAAGAAAGAGACAGTGAGGTGGTGAAAATGTATTTAGGACAGTTTGACAATAAAGTAACATAAAGCTGAAGGAAGAGGCATCCTATAAGTGAAGGGCAACTGAATATATTCAAAAATATGTAATGAGGATAATAACGTTTTTGGTAACTTTGCCTGTGTCTTGAGTGCCAGATAGGAAGAGGAGTATACTCCCTCTGCCGGGGTATTATCAGGAGAGGTGGATATAGCCAAAGCTCAGGTAGATGAGAAAAATAAAGAAGGAAAATTCATCAAGTTCAAGAAAGGTGTAAGAAACCAAGTTGTAAGAAATAAAGAGCCAGGGATTTAAGATACCAGATACCAAACAGCTTGAGTGTTAAGAAGAGGTTTCTTGGTTGACAAACTACTGGCAGCTTTCTTAGAGGTGGATTCAGTGAAAGGGTCTAAGTAAAACTGAAAAGGAGAGCAGAGAATAATCAGAACACAGCACACAGACTGCTGCAGAAGAGTTCAGTGACAAAGGGAACCTACAGCAAAGTCAAAGCAATATTATTAAGCAAAACAAAAGCCTTCCAGAATTCAATAGAAAAGAGTTAAAATAACATTATACAGCAGACGAAGAAAATTAAGAAGGAAGTGTGAGAATTCTAGGACTGCAGAAAATGAGTTAGATCAGATTATTTAAAGATGAGGGAAGCTGTGAGACTTCAGAATGAAAGGAAAATAAAACAGACCAAGGAAAGCGAAGATAGTGGAGAAGAGGGGAGCAGGAATTGCATTCCTGATGCCCAGTTCTGTTAATATTGCCTTCAAAAAATGTTAGGCAGCTAGTGGAAAAACAGAAGAGAAATTTTGGAGAAGGAGACGTGAATTGCAAATGAAGAGTAATGAACAGAAACTGCAGGATTCAGAGGGGTGAGAACTGTGGAGGACAGAAATGGGAATGTCTTCTAAGGAACAGAACATAGGAAGGGAGCAAGATCACTTGTAAGTGATGTTTGGCCCTGGAGCTCCCTTTGAGGAGGCCAAGAGCAGGCACAGAAACATGGGAGGCATGGGAGAGAGGTGGGAGAGATCTGTCAAGCAGTCAGTGAAGGCTGAAAAGCAGCTACAGCTGCAGCTGAGGTAGCTGAAAATGTCAAAGATGCCATAAATGCATTTTAGATCATGCATGTGTGGTTTCCGTGGTTTGGAAGCCTCATATATGTCATCTCTCTGCTTTTTAGGAATCACAAAACAGTTGTTTCCAAACACAGATGATGCTTTAATTAGAAGAATGATGGGACAAAAACTAAACAATTGCACCAAGAAACCAATTTTAAGCAAAGATCTTAACTCAGGTGCTTTTCAGAATCATGGCTTCTGGTAAGTCTCAAAAAAATGAACTATACAGTGTGTCATTGCCTATGTTCCCCATGGCAAATAAAACAAAAAGCAATCTTAAAGTTATCTTTAAGGTGTATGTTCAGGTTTGCATTACCCAGGAGGTGAATCATGTCCTTGTGCAATGATTACATTAGACGAAAGCAGCTCAGCTTAACATTACAGCTCAAAAATATTGCTCATTCTGGACAAAGCAGCACAAGGTAAGTAAAGAACAGGAAGAGAAGACAGAAGTGAGTACATGCAGTTACTTTGATCAGTATATCTATTTCAGATTTGACATTATTTACTTTCCTATTATGGGCATACTTGTGAATAAGACTAGCCTAAAATTGCTGAACTCAGCCCTATTGACAGTGAAGTCACCTATTTGCATATATACATATACATATATACCGAACATATATATATGTATATACTTTAAAACTTATTCATATAAAATATGACAGGGCAAGTCTTTAAAAAAAACTATGTAG